CAGGATATTAGAGTTTCCAACTATTATTGTAGAACTCTCTATTTTCCCTTCAACTCTGTCAGTTTTTGCTTCATATATTTTGATTGTCATTAGTTGTATAAGTGTGTGTAAGTGTTATATCTTCTTGCTGTGTTGAACCTTTTATTAATATACTAGAGGCTTGATGCACAAAATTCGTGCAAGGGGCTTAGTCCTCACAGCTGCGGCAGCTTGCCTCGGCCCTCGCAGCCCCGACTTCATCTGGAAGGTCATCCAGAAGGACATCCAGAAGGTCGTTTGGCTGTATGGTCTAATTAGCATATTATGCTTTTATTATTATAGATAATGTCCTTTGTTGTCTCTTTGAACCATTTTTCATTTAAAGTTTATTTTGTCTGATATTAGTATAGGCTGCTGTCTTTTGGTTACTATTTACATGTAATATCTTTTTCTATCCTTTCACTTTCAATCTGTTTGTCTTTGTATACCAACTGAGTCTCTTGTAAGACAGCATATAGTTGGATCATGTGTGTTTAACCATTCTACCAATCTCTGTATTTCAATTTTAGAGTTTAACCCATTTACATTTAAAGTACCTATAGCAAGTCCTTGAATAACATAATTGTGTTCAGTGTCGTTTTGTTATAACATTGATGAGATGCCATAGGAACTTAACTCTTGTTTATATTAATTAGCCTATGGTAAAATTGGTTTTGTTACACATTGTTTCACTTAAAATCACAGAACCTATTGATGACATTAATTGAGAACTTACTGTATTGATAAGGAGGTACGTCTGTTAATGTGTTATTTGTTTTCTATATGCTTTATAGCTTTTTTGTCCCTCATTGCCTGAATTACTGTCTTGTATATAGTTGATTTTTTTGTGGTGAAATGTTTAAATTCCTTTCTCATTTACCTTTGAGTATATTCTGTAGCTATTTTCTTTGTGGCTACACTGAGGATTACATTTAACATCCTAATGTTATAACATTCTAATATGAAATTATACCAGCTTAACTTCTGTAATATGCAGAACTCTACCCCTTTACAGTTCTGTCCTCACCCCCTTTTCATTGCTAATGTTACAGAATTACATCTTTATGTGTTGTGTGCCCCAATATATAAACTAATAATTCATGTAATGCATTAGTCTCTTAAATTATGTAGAAAACAAAAATTGTAGTTACAAACCACTGTTACAGTAATACTTGCTTTTAAAAAATATATTTTTATTGATTTCAGAGAGAGGAAGGGAGAGGGAGAGAAAGATAGAAACATCAATGATGAGAGAAAATCACTGATTGGCTGCCTTCTGCATACCCCCTACTGGGGATCAAGCCTGCAACCCTGGTTTATCCTGATGGGGAATTGAACCTTGAACTCCTGGTTCCTGAATTGATGCTCAATCACTGAGCCACACTGGCCGGGCCCCAAATAATCATTTGTTAAATGATTTGGCCTAGTATAAATTGCTTTATGTTTGAAATTGTTTTCAATATAGATTTTAAATAACTTGTGACTCACATTTTTATGATGCAGGCTTGACTTTTCCTTAGATTAATTAGGGAGAAGAAAGTTGAATAGTTTAATATAGATGATGATTATAACTACATTCTCTTTTCACAGAAATAACCATGCTTAAAGTTAGAAACCTATATGTTCTTAACCATAATTTATAATTTTTTTACAGATTTGTGGGGCCACTGGGTACCATCATCATAAAGTGTAAAGATTTTCGAATAATTCAGTTGGATATTCCTGGAATGGAGGAATGTTTGAATATAGCCAGTTCCATTGAGGTAAGTATTTTGGAAGCAAAATGTGTTGAAACTAAAAAGTAACTTAAAAAGCCTTATATTCTGACTCATTGTAGCTCTTATGTTTCTTCATTAAATATTTGGTCATGTTCTATAACTCAAATATTGAAAACTGATAGGAAAAGCGTCACCCTGATTCATTGTTATAGGAATGTAATAGGATTTTAGGGTTACTTATTCTTCCAGGTTCATCCATATTTAGCATGTGACAATTTCCTTACCTTTTAAGGCTGAGTAATATTCCATTGTATGTATATGTATATGTATACATATATGTATATGGTGAGACTTTATAAAAAAGTTATTTCTTTTTTTTTTTAATATATTTTATTGATTTTTTACAGAGAGGAAGGGAGAGAGATAGAGAGTTAGAAACATCAATGAGAGAGAATCATCGATCAGCTGCCTCCTGCACATCTCCCACTGGGGATGTGCCCGCAACCCAGGTACATGCCCTTGACCGGAATCGAACTTGGGACCTTTCAGTCCGCAAGCCGACGCTCTATCCACTGAGCCAAACCGGTTTCGGCAAAAAAAAAAAGTTATTTCTTTTATAAAGGAAGTAATTATCACTGATGATTATTATCTCTTGTTTGTTTTTAGTAAATCTGAATTTCCAAATATCAGATTTGCTTAAGATAGGATGTGTTTGTTTTCTATTTATTTAAATAATATTGAATATCTGTTCAGATTATAAATAATAGAAATTTTACTTGGATAATTTAATATTTAAATTGAAGAGCTCACACTATATCCTTCCCCATTCTAACCAACTATATTAATATGCACTTAAATTTTATTTTATTTTTTTTTTAAATATATTTTATTGAGTTTTTACAGAGAGGAAAGGAGAGAGATAGAGAGTTAGAAACATCGATGAGAGAGAAACATCGACCAGCTGCCTCCTGCACACTCCCCACTGGGGATGTGCCCGCAACCAAGGTACATGCTCTTGACCGGAATCGACCCTGGGACCTTTCAGTCCGCAGGCCGACACTCTATCCACTGAGCCAAACCGGTTTCGGCTGCACTTAAATTTTAAATTGCCTTATTTTAAATCACTGCTGCTAAATTGTAGCAATTAACTTTATAATATTTTCTTGATAACTATAGAGACATGCTGATTTTTCTTCTGTCTTTAAGTGACTAATCTGAGCTTTGTGTCTGAAACAAATGTTACTGCTTTAACTATTACAAGGGGGCAGAAAGGCTTAAAAATCTGTAACTAGGATTTTGTTTTTTTAAACATGAAGAGAAAAATAAAGGAACAACTGTTGTGGTACTGCAAAAATTGGTATGCAACATTTTTCTGAGTTTGCTAAATTTTACTTAAGGAAATGAGAAGATGAGCCAAACTGTCTTACATAGCTGTCATTTGGAAGTAACACAGTAATGTTGATTTGGCTGAATTCACTAACATGAGTAAGAAATGCCAATGGCTTCTAGGCTGTTAAATTGAAATACAGTCCTGTTATTTGAGCAGGAGAATGCTGCTGACCCACTGCAGTTAAGCATGTGGTTTTGGGGTTGTGGTTTTTTGTTTGTTTGTTTTTTCAGTTGTGGGGTTGGGTTTTCATTGACCTGTCTACATTTTTCTTATCCCTTTTCTAACTTGTAAGAGCTGATTGGTGGGTGTTAGTGAAGTGGCCCATGGTGAAGCATAGTGGTGAAGAAATAGGGCAAGGCTTATTATTCCTCTTTCTGATTGCATTTATTTAGCTAAGTAATGCTAACCAGTTTTTTAGTTAGCTGTAGATGTTACCAAATGCTCTATAGAAAATGACTGATTATATGGAAGTCATTATGGCTAAAAAGAAGCCATACATTATGAGCCATTCTCATAATTTGATGTCAGAATGAGAATCCTCTTCTCTTTCCTTTTTTACAGTTTAGTAAATACACATAGTGAACTTGGCCTCTAGCCTTTTACTGTCTTCCAATTCCCTCCCCCAAATACAGTTTAACATAATTTAGGAGTAATAAGTGAAATTCTTATATAGCATAGTTGAGCTATTCTTTGTGATCACGAGTCCATATACTCAAATATATTCTGTTGTCACAAATAGAATCCCATTAGAAGGATAACTGGCAAATGCTCAGTTTTCTAAATTATAGCAGGAAGTCTGATGAAGCTGTTTTCTGTGTACTTTCAACTACTTTGGGGGTTGAAATGTTTTTAGTTCTTTCAGCATTAATATGTTTAAAGGAAAAGTCCTATCTCTAGTGACATAAAATATAATCACAAGTGCTTATTGCCTGCCAGAGTGGTGCTGTCTTACTTGCATTTAAAATAATGATTGTACCAGCCAGAATGGAAAACAATATGGAGGCTCCTCAAGAAATTAAAAATAGAACTATCATATAATCCATCAGTTCCACTCCTGGGTATGTACCTAAGGATACAAAATCATTATCTTGGAGAGATACCTGTACTCCTGTGTTCATAGCAGCATTATTCATAATAGCCAAGATATAGAAACAACCTAAGTGTTGATGGATGGATGGATGGATAAAGAAAAGAGAGAGAGAGAGAATGAATGAGAGAGAGAAATTATTCAGCCTAAAAAAAGAAAGTAATCCTGCCATTTGCAACAGCATGGATGAAACTGGAGAGAATTATGCTGAGTGAAATAAGCCAGACAGAGAAAGACAAGTATTGCATTGTATCACTTATATATGTGATCTTAAAAAGTAAAGCCAAAATCATAGAAATAGAGAATAGAAAGCTGTTTCAGCTATAAGATGAATAAATCTTGTGGGTCTAATGAATAACATGGTGACTGTTTTTCAAAACACTATATTGTTTGAATGAAATTTGCTGAAAGAGTCAAACTTAAATGTTCTCAAAAACAACAGCAAAAGGTGATGTGAGGTGATAGTGTGTCAACTCAATGCGGGGGGAGAAATCCCTTCACAATGTCTATGTATTATATAGTACACTTTAAATATTTTACAGTTTTCTT